CTTTGGCCCTGCTCTTGTTAGTGGAAATTGTCACACTTAGCCTCCTGGTGAGGAGTAAAGCTTCTGACCATCTGTGGCTCCTGCCTCATTCAGGGTGGGTAGTGCACAGCAAAGAGGTAGGAATGTTGTGGTTGTGTACTAGGATTTCTTCCAAATTCCCCCAAAGATGAGCATTAATCTCTCTCCACTTAAATGTAAACAGCAACAATAAAATAAATTGCAGAGCCAACAAAACAAAATGGATTCAGGAAATCAATGTTTTTAGTTCTGGGCCTATAGACACACAATAGAAAGTTATTATGGCAATACACACAATATACAAGTGTCTCTAAATCTTTATTTTTGGAGGAAAAAGGAAGAAAGAATTTAAAAATGTTAATGATAAAATGTCACACAAAAGTTCCCGGATGCCTACAAAACCATCAGAAATGTGCGAAACAAGGAATGATCTGAGTTTTAAACCTAATTATAGGTGTTGGACTATAAAATGATGCTATGCTAAAACAATGCTGCACACAATGAAATAAAACTAACACCTGCTGATAGTGTGCTAATGATTTTAAACCTTAGCTGCAGGCCACATAAAACTCATAAGCTAGTAAATAAGCAGAGTGTGAGTGTCAAAATGTAGGGCAAAGGCCTTCGCTATGCTTTATAGAAAAACCTACCCCTGCGTGATCAAACACGTTGCCCAAAGTCTTTAGCTGTTTTTCCACTTGCCCACATACGTTTGAGAACGGTCAAATAACAAGTTCATAGAAATGTGTAAAAGCAATTTGAAGTCCTGGTTTTGGGTGTCAGCGTCCCAAGAACAGAAGCCATAGTGAAAAAGAAAGGGGGAAACACGGTTTAAGTGTCTTAGACACACTGGCAAAACCTAACGCGTTTAAGAGTGTAGGTTCTCACCTTGCAGGACAGATGTTGGCCTTTTAAACTACTCTCATCCATGAAAACAATCCCTCTCCAGGAAACCACAAATTCGTCCCAAAACCCTGACAGAGGGGATTCTCCCGAGGGCGCTGCTGTCCCTCTCCTGTGGATGTGGGTTTCCTTTGCAAGAGATAGCAACCTTGGAAGGGGGAGGCGGTGGCCCCTCACCTCAGCTAAACTTGACCAAATACTAGACGCTCTACTTTGGAAGAGGGAGGCGCTTCCTTGGGACGCCAGGCTTCCCTACCCTAGCGCCCCGCGGCCAGAAACGGAAACCACTAGCTGCGCTCAAGTGAGTGGAGTGATGAAATCAAGGCTCCGAGGGAAGGAAGCTCACCGACCTAACTGGTGACAAGCTGCTGGGTCCCCTTGGGTGTGTGTGTGTGGGGGGGGAAGCCCCACGGTCCCAACAGCGGTCCCCGCGGCATCCCTGGGTTTGGACCACGCCAAGAGGAAGGGGAGTCGCGTGGAGGGGAGGGGCGGGGGGGGGGGGGGGAAGCGCGGCTCAGATTTCGCCAGGTCCCCGCCCGAGGGCTCGGGGTACCAGGTGGCTGCCGCGCGGGACCGCGCAGGCACCCGGACGCTGCTGCGGGGCTGGCCGGGGGCGCGCGGGCGGCCGAGGAGTTGCGGGGCGCGCGCCGCCGGGGGCCCGGCTCGCGGCTCACCTGGAGCGCTCAGGTAGGACCTGGGCGGGGCGCGGGGCTGGCGCGCAGGCGCGGGAGCCGGCCTCGCCCCTGCCGACGTCGCCGGCGGGAGCTCACCTGGGAGACTCGCCGAGGAAGAGGAGGCTCGCCGCGGCCTCGCCTGGCAACGCGGGCGGCCCGGCGGCGGCGAGGCAGGAAGCGGCGGCGGCGGAGGAGTTGAAGCGAACGGCTCACGGGAGCCCGCAGCCTCCCGAGTCGCCGGCGCCGCCACCTGCCCTTGGCCCCGGGCCCCGCGGGCAGCGCCCCCGACCGGCCACCGCTTCCCGCCGCCTGCCCTGCCCACCTGCCAGGTAAGCCGGCTCGCAGCCCGGCGGGGGGTAGAGGCGGGGGGAACCCCGCGATCCGGGCCAGGGACAGGGTGCGGGACGGCCCCGAAGCTGCCCCTGGCCGGTTGGACGCGGTCTCGAGAGCGGGTTTCAGTTTGCCCCCCCCCCCTCCGGGAGGAGCCGGCGGGGACACGGGTCACGCCTGTCGCCGATGTCCCTCGGCAGCCCCCGGGGCAAGGGTCTAGCCCGAGTGATCTCCCCTCACCCCGGGCCGAAAGTCCGGCTGATCCCCGGCTGGTCCTGGGGAAGGCGGGTCTCCCGCCGAGGCGCTGCGCGAGGCTCGCCAACTTGGGCTAGCAGGTTGCCTGCCCGCTCCCGGGTACCTAGTGGGGCCAAACCCGCGACGGGGAGGGCTTGTGGCTGTGCCGGGCAACTTTCCCCGCCAACCCCAGGCAGTCCTAGACTGGAAACCGCGGCAGCTCCGAGCCATCTCGAAGCTTTCCGACTGGTTTGGAAAGGCGTTCGGGGGTCGGGACGCCGGCATCCGCGCTCTGCGCTTTTCCGGGTGCACTCCCCGAGCCAGAGCTGCGCCCACTTTCCGGTTGAAGGTGGTAGAGTCCAGGTCTTCGTGGCAGGAGGAAATAGAGCTGCGGTTCACCAACTGCACGCCCTCCTCTTAGAGGACCTGTTGACTTAAGGACCAGTGTATCTCGGATCTGGTGTGCCTGTGGCATATGACTCAAAGTTAAAAAAAAAAAACAACTTAGTTTCAGCATCCTGCCACGTCTGAACCTGGGAGTGCCAAGCCCAAATTCCTGTCTACCTAATTAGGATTTTCAGAAGCCTAAACATTAAGGTTGAAACAACTCTTACCATAGACTTAATTCCTTCCTTCTGTTTTGGGGACTGCATTAAGTTACCCCCCCCCCTTTTCTGATTTTTTTTTTAAGAACATGCTACTAATATGACTTGCTGTTGAAGTTACACTACACAATGAACATCTGAATTCGAATCCTTTTGTTAAAATCCAGAAAGTTACATTTGAATTTGAGAGTTTCTAGTTGTGAGAAAAATCTGTAGTCTAATCAACTAACTTTGAGTTTGTTGCTTAGGCATATAAGTTTAAGGCTGAACCCTATAATTATTTCTTTTTAACCTTTACCATTAACTGAACCTAACATACTTGTTAGTAGAAACATTCTGGGCAGTGTATTAATACCAAGCATTTTTTAAAATACATTGTTTTAACCAACATTTTTTTTCATAGAAAAAAATTAATAATAAATAGTAATTCCACTCCCTAGGATTGTTTAGTTCTGCCTTTACTAATTTTTAAAACATATATTTGGATTGTACATTTAACTTAAAATGCTTTAGGCTGTTCATATGGGTTTTTTATGAGGTGCAATTAAAATCTTAAAAAAAAACCTTCATAACAGTACATAATTGTTAATTCAACCATGGCTTTTTAAGAGCCTCACCTACCTTCTTAGACTTGTCTGCATAGTGAGAAATTGATGTGCTAAGTACTGTTTGAACACTGAATAGGTATTGCCCCCTACATTTTGAATATTAGTTTTCACTGGCTATTGGGCAGGTATTATCAGACTAGCTTGACTCTAACCTTAGGGGGAAAATGTAGCATGTTCTTGTTAGTTTCTGTCTGTAAAGAATTGGGGGGAAATGTTTTCCTGCACTAAGCTAATGAAGCCTTAAGGACATTAGAATATCTTGTATGATAGCATTCTTGGACTCCCTTTCTGACCTGGCTGTCTGGTCAAGGCTTCCCAGTTGTGTTCTAACTGTATTTCACGATGCAAGAGTGCGAGAGATCACTATTCTGGTGGCTGGACTGAGGGGCTCCCCTACCATTCTGTCTCACCACTCACATACTCACTTATCACGGCTTGCTGATCTTTTCTTTCATGCCATTTGTAAGGGCTTTGTAATTATAAGATAGTCAGTTGTTCTCTGTCCAGCTCTGATTTCACCTGATCTCCACCTTGCTCTGTAGTGACTCCAGGAGGTCATCATGCTTTCCCCTGGCTGAGAATTTCACATGTGTATTGATGGTGCCTGCCATATGGACTGGGATTTTTAATCCCTTTTTGGTATTTCAGAGACACAGTTATTTTTTTGAGCCAGTTTGGATGACATTAGCCAGTTCTGATCTTTTATTATATTGGCTTACACCATATTTTGTAAGGCATAGACCCAATGTCTTCCATCCCCTTGCAATAATCTAGACGTTTGGTTTCAAGCACACTTCCTTAATACCAATGCTGCAAAAACATTTTTTTAAACCCACAATCCTCTAATTTGAAGTACTCTGTTTCAACTCAATACATTGGCAAAGGGTGTATGTATATACATGAAATGAGTTTCACGAAACAATATCTAGCCTTGGGAAACAGATGCCTTTTTTTAAAAAATTTGCCTTAATATACTAGATTGATTTCATGTCAGCTAATGGCTGGTACCTGTAATGGTAAAATGGTATTCTCCTTTGAGTGTATATGCTGTTAAGGCTCATTGTTCTAATAATAAGCTTATTTTCTCTCTCTCTCTCTCTCTCTCTCTCTCTCTCTCTCTCTCTCTCTCACACACACACACACACACACACACACACACACACACACACATTTCATAAAATCATATTGCACTCCTAGTTATTTGATGGAGAGTTTGAGGCTCTAGGATATTGACACTAGATGATCTCTCAAATATCAGGGGCTACAGAAAATCTCATTGTATATTATTATATTTTAAAAGGGGTCTCAGGCTGTGGTATATTTAGAGCCAGGGAAGAAAACGAGAAAGGTTTTCTGAGGGCATTTTGATGGTAACAGTTATCAAGTGAAAGTCTGAGAAAAGTAATTCTGTCCTTCTCCCACCAGCAGTGCAGTGCTAATTTTATTCTAAGTTTTATGGTTGAGTTATGGTTGGGATTATGAAAAAAATTTACTAGGGAATGTCCAGTCTAATATATATATATATATATACACATATACATATATGTATGTATATATACACATATATGTGTGTGTGTGTATATATATATATATATATATATATATATATATACACACACACACATCCTGTTAATGTTTTAACCTTTATTCTGAAACAGGTATCAGAGATGAATTACAAGAAATCACTTCCTCTCCTCCATAAAAGACTAGATTCAGAAATTAGACTAAAGGGCTGGAGGTACGGCTCAGCGGGGAAGAGCATGGTCTGCTCCTCAGTAAAACCTTCGGTTCCTAGCACCCATGTGGCTGCTCACAACAAACTTACACCAATTACACGGGATTTCACGCCCTCTCCTGGCCTCTGAGGGGACCGTACACATGTGGTGCACACATACACTCAGGCAAAACGTCTACACACATAAAAATAAGCAAATACATCGAAATAAATCAATTAATGAGGTTAAGACTGGGGGTGTTGTATACACCTTTGAATGTAGCACTCAGGAGGCAGAGGTATGTTTGAGGCCAATCTAGGCTACATAGTGAGTTCCTGACCAGCCAGAGCTACATAGCTGAGACCTCATATTTAAAAAAATAAAAAATAGATTAGATCCCTAATCTTGGGAAGTCTGATTGGGAATAATTAATGCTTTCAAAGACACTTTTAACTTTAACCCACCTTCACATTCTTGGTGGAAGGAACTTTTCTCCTGAAGAAAATATTGTTGTATTTTACATTTTGGGAATGGCCAATACCAAAATCATTCAGATACATTCAGTTCTCTGGTCCATAAAGTATAGTAATACATTTGGAATAAGCAGATCAATTATTAGTCTAAAAGCTGATCAAGAAGAAAGGAGTATTTTCTGTTACCTATCCAATTATGCATCTGGTTGATGGGGAATAATTAATGCTTTCAAAGACACTTTTAACTTTAACCCACCTTCACATTCTTGGTGGAAGGAACTTTTCTCCTGAAGAAAATATTGTTGTATTTTACATTTTTTATTAAAATATAATAAAATACAGGATAATTAGTACTATATAACGGGTAATTTTAACATAATTAACGTATTGTCAGTGACAGCATTGAATTTAATCAGTTCCTGCAATGGCTGGAGACCATTATTTATGGTAAAACATAGGCAAGTAAGACTCAGAATTCTGGGTCGTTAGTGGCTACTGACCACTCGACAAAAGCCTTGAGTCATTCTCTGAATTGGACTTATAATTCTGTAACCTTTTCCCTATACGTGTTTGAATTTCAAACTATGTAAACGAATTTTCTCATCTGTATGATTGCCTGCTGGGTGTCTTTAACTTACCGTCATAATAACTGGAGATTACCCATGTGTAAACCAGGACCTTCATCACATCTCAAGGCAAAAAAAAAAAAAAAAGTTTCACTCTCTGTAGTTCATCTATAGATGTTAGAAATCTTATCATGTCTTACCCACAAAAAATTTGTGTGAATCATTTGTTAACAAAATTTGAGCGAGTGAACTGTCAGGAAACCACCTTTTATACCACTGGCAGACTGTGTCTTGCTACAGAAATAGTGCTGACATTTTTTATTAGATAATACTGCCTAGGCCCCATGAGGAACAGCATTACATTAGGTGTATGACCCGTGTCACTATCCTAACATCCCAAAACATTCTGAATTTTGAAACACATCTGGCTCAAGAGATTGGGGGGAACAGACTCTGAATCTATAGTACTGTCTGAGAGTCCGGGCCACAGATACATAGGTTATTTTCAACCTTATCAGCCTCTACAGTAATTATCATCTGAGTATTTGTGTCCCTCCAAAATACATATATAGAAATCTAATTCAATATGTATTGGCATCAGTATACAAGAGCTGCCAGCTGTGATGCTGTACACATTTAGTCCTAGTACCCTTGGAGCAGAAGGGAAGCCTTAGGAAATGACCAAGGACATGGGAGAAGCGGTCCATTAAACTTGCCTGTTGAACATAGACTGCTATTATGCTCATCTCATTCCTTTGAATTCTGTTATTTTGAGGATTTTTTTGTGTTTTATGAAGATTCATTTTTCAGAAATGAGAAATGTGGTTTGTGGTTGAAAGACTCTGCAGCCTTTGTTTGTAAATACTCCCCAATTGAGGACGTTAGTCCTGGTGAGAAAGTGAGTATAAGAGGGCAGGTTTTACTTGTGGTTAGACTAAAACAAACGTGGGGGTGCAGACAGAAAATAGAGAAAGAGTCCTTGATATTAGCTGTTTCCTTTCAAATTTCTTACAATGGCCAAACTCTCTTAATTTTATCTCTTAAATAAGCATCTCCCAAATCTATGCATTTTTCTCTAGGCCCATTAAGACCACCATCTCTCTGCTAGACTTTTGTGATGGCTAGGCTTTCTCAACTACTTCTGATGTCTTTCTGGTTTGTTCTTCACACTGCATCCAGAATGAGAGTTTTCAAAATACTTGGCCACAGTGACCCCTTCTCAAAGCCCTTCCACGCCCTTAGGGTAAGACAAACCCTTTAATGTGGCCTAAAGCCTGGGCATGACTCAGCTGCTGCTGCCCCACACCCCTCCTGCCTGAGCTCTGGCAGCCTCTTTCACTGCCAGGTTCTTCTTGCCTGCAGGTCATTGCCAAGTGCCATTCTTTCTGCCTGTAATAGGCACCTCCCTACCTTTGGGCCTGTAGGGCTAGGGCTAATACTCAACCTTCATGTTCCGATCTGACCTCCTTCGTTTTCACCTCTAACTATAGCTGGGACTTCTCTCTCTCTCTCTCTCTCTCTCTCTCTCTCTCTCTCTCTCTCTCTCTCTCTCTCTCTCTCTCTCTCTCTGGAATTTGTACTCTCTCCACTACCCTTACTTCCAACCACACACTAAACTTTAGCCTAAAGAAATAACCAGCTACTTGGTACTCAGGTATGTATTAACCTTTAAAATGAATTTCCTCCCAGAAGAGGGTGGCCAACTTTAATATTTACCCCGCAGGTTAAACCATGTTTTCAGTCACTAATAACTAATGTGTTTTTATCATGTAATAATTCGTATTTATCACCTTAGTAATGATTGATCCTTGTTCACTGCTGCTCATTTGTCCAATACATTTTAAGTAATTTGCATGTAACTCATTAAATTTTCACAGCAACTTGTGAAGTATATCCTGGTTTTCTCCCTTTTTATAGAGAAAAGGAAAATTAAAACGAGAGATTAGTTCACTCACTTCCACCTAGTAGGTTCTTGACATCTCAGATAACAGAGCCGTTTAAGTCTGATTATAAATCAGTACTTCCATCCACCTTATGTGTGAATAAAGCTAAGTGGGACTACTGTAACAGCTGTAACTAGAACTCTCCAGTCACTGGTCCACTCTCTCGTTAGCTGCCTCACGCAGTGTTCTCCTCTGGAATAATACGCTTCTGGTTCTGTTTCTCATGTCGGTGTTTGGCGTTGTCTGCTGACTTCTCATTATAGCGGACAAATATTTATCTCTTTCACTCACACATACACCTCTGCTACTCCTTCCTCAGCATGGAAGTCTCATTCTTTGTTTGCATTTTCATATTTATTTGTTATGAATATGTAGATATTGTTCGCTACAAATCCAAGCAAGCCTATTGAGGTTATTTGGTTTGGCGTTTGAAGCACACTTTCATGTATAAGCCCAGCTTGGCCTAGCGTTCTCTGTGTAGTCCAGGGCATTCTCAATATTCTCTTGCCTCAGGCTGGAGTGTTCTGATTGCAAATGGGTACCACTACACTCAGCTAGGCATTAGTCTTGATTTGTAGTTTTTCTTTTATCTGATATAGAGTCAGGTTTGGTCTATAATAGACCAGGTTGGTCTCAAACGCTTCTGATGTAAGTTACCCTTCAGCCTCCAAATAGTTGAGGCTACCAGCATGTGTCCCATGGCTAGCTTGGAGGTTGCTTTTTAACACTTTGTTAGTTAATTTAAGAAAAACAACCTGCCTAAGTTTTCCGTATATTAGTTGGAGTCTGACTTCTTTGTATTCCAAGATCTCCTTAGTTTTACATAATCGAAACATCAGATGATTGATTGGCTCCCTCTATCTTGTCCTCTGGTTTTGCTATGATATTTTTTTTTTTTTAGCTGATGTGACCCTTCCTGTTTATTCCCTCTATTATTTTGTATAATGTATCTTCCTGAGTAATGGTTTGTGGAATTAGGAAAATTAAGAGACCTCAGTAGGAAAACCATTATTACCTTCACACATATTTTTCATGATCTATTTTTGTCATTAGTCTTTTCATGACGGGCATCGTTTTCAAAGGTAGCATGCAACAGGCCTTTCTCTTGTTGTCGTTGTCTGACGCCGTGTTCCTTATGAGGACAGAGAGTCCATCAGCAAGTTTCTTCCACCAAGCAGCAGCATCCTCAACTCATCGACTCTCACAGCCTCCCTGTCAAGTGAATGGCTGAATTCAGCAGACTCTTGGGTCTCATTTCCAAACTTCCTTTTCTCTTTTATTCATCTCTTGCTCGAATTATTTTTAATAATCCTATAATTGCCTCTGCCCCCCCTATCTGACCTCCTCTTTCTCCAAAAATAATGTATATCCTGTACAGCTTTCAAGGGCAATCATTTTAATTTTCAGTTTTAGTTATCATACTGCTTAAAATCCGCCAGGGCCTCACTCATTGCTTAAGGAATTAAGTTTAAATCCCATAGGATTATGGACCCATCCCTTCCCTGTTTGGAACTTGTCATTCAGCACAGGGATGCTCAGCCTCACTCTGTGACAACTGACTGCTTGTGCGTAGCCTTAAGAAAAATTACCCTATCTGAGGTCAGCTGATGAAGGAACGTTTTAGGCTGAGACTGGTTTATGTCCAATGTAAACTTATAACGAAGGAAGTTTTTGATTGCTTAACCACCAGGAGAGGGTGATGCAGAGGTACCAGAGATAATTGGAGCAGTCAAAGCTATTTTACGTTTTATATTAGGCACATTTGCCACCTGATCTTAAGAATGCTACGAACAATTTGAAGTTTGGATTTGATCATGTTACCACTATGTTGATAGAACTAGAGAGGGAGTAATAGGGAGATTTACTGTGTTGAAATTCAAGTCTTTTAGTATTTTTAGAGTAAGAGTTGGCAAAATACAGCCCCTGGGCCAAATTTGGTACACAGCCTGTTTTTGTAAAAAACAAACAGTTTAATAGGAACACAGATATGCTGCTTCATGTATGCATTGTCTTTTTTTTCCTCCAGCATTGAGTAGTTGCAATAGAGGCCTTGCGGTCTTCAAACCAAAAGAAAGGAAGGAAATGGGGAGGGAGGGAGTGACTGACTCTTTATGAAAAGTTGCCTGTCACTTCTACAGGCTGGTGGGCACTGAGCAGTCCAGCATGTGACCCAGGAAGGAGTGGAGGGTAAGCCCGTAGAGAGGTGAAAGGAGCTGGGCAAGAAGTCTTACTGTTTTGTCCTCTCTATCCCCATCCTTTAATACTCTTGGGCCTTCAAAGGAAGAATGAGTGGACTGAAGTGACCTTCTACTTAGGAGTTTGTGTGCCCCTCTGTAAATGGGCTGGCTGATGAGACTTACCAAGTGCGTCTTGGACACTCCCCCTCCAGCTCCATTCCATAGGGTCAGTCAGCATTCCTTCCCTAGGTGTTGTGAACTCCATCTCTGAGTGGGGCCTTTGCACCTTTGAAAAAGCAGCCTGTTGGTTGCTCTCTTTAGGCCTTTTGAGATGAGCGTCCTGGTGTCAGTGGAGTTAATGGGATCCTATAGCAACTGAAGCAAAGAGGCAGCCAGCATTAGCCACCAAAGACAGAGTAGATAGATCTTCCCTAATGGAAGGTAGGGCTATAGAATCATCAGCAAGCCTTGCCTTCTGTATCACTTTTGGTAGCTGAGATGTTCTTGGCAGATCCCTAGTGGTCACTATAATGAATGAAACAGATAAGCAACGTTTAATTGTCAGAACTAAGAGCTTTAGTCTCAATTATTTTCCAAACCTATGTCAATTCACAGATCCAGAACCCTTCCCCAGCCGGACCCACAGCCATTTACTAGAGAGTATTCTTCGGAGAAAAGGAAGTACTCAGACTTCTGCATCAGTTCCTAGAAACTGAAAATATCAAATTAGCAGCTTACCGGGGTCAGGTGACAGATGGAATTGCGCTCACATTAGGCTTCACTTCTTCACGTGCTCCCTCCTCTGAGTGGGGGTGAGGGCAGGCAAGCCATTAACACATGGCTCTTTGGGTGACACTTTCCCAAACCATAACACTTTTTTCCTTCCAGCTCATATCTATGACGTCTTGGGTGGACTTTCCTTAGTCCAAATGATAAGAACACTCAAACCTGATTGACAGATGAGTTTGCACAGTTACCTGATAGCACCTGTAGAATTTAGCCCTGCCCATTGTTAGTTGTAAAAGATGCCCTCCCCCCAAAGGAAATTCTTCTTATAGGTAGAAATTGTGTTTTTCCACTGTGGTTAGAATGAGAGGTAGCCAGAGGTACAAATCTTTATTGGTTGAATGGAAGTTACAGTGGTTGTATGGCCAGAGCCTTGAAAGCCTTGAGCCTTGAAAACTGGCGATGCTGGAATTTGAGGATATGTGTGTAAGCCTTTCAGAAGGGGCAGACCCTGAAGAGGTTTATCTCATCTAAATATACCGAAGGATTTTGACTTCAAGAGAAAGCTTTTAATGATCAAATGGAGAAAGTAACACATCCCGTGGACCATGGACCTCAGCCAGAACCCCCCTCCCCAGCTACCGGAGTGGGCCTGGTGTGTCGAAGTGGAGGCCTGGCCAGAACTGCTGCTGTGTTCCTCACCTGCAGAGAACACCATCAACCCCAGAATAGCCCAAAGGATAGCCTTCACCGCTTCCCAGTGTGCTATTTGTGTGCTTCAGTTATGAGCCTGCTCTGCAGGATTGGAGCAGAACCGCCTAAGTATTTCCCCTGTTGTGCCAACTGGGGCAGTGTTCAGCCCTGTCAGCAAAGGGCTTCAAGGACACTGAGCGTAACGGGGCCTTCCCTTCCTGGCTTCAGGGCTCTTAATGAACATACCCATCGCGCAGCTCCTTCCATGGCTTTCTCCAGTGGTAGCTGTAATACAGGGAACAGCTTTCCTAGAGTTGACCTCCCCAACTCCATCCTTCTTCCAGGACTTGACTTGGGCAGTAAGGCTGTGTGTGTCCTTCCAGCCTACGTCGCTGCTCCGCAAACGCTTTCCCAGACCTACACAAAGGTCTGAAACAATTGGTCATTTGTAGAGGTAGCTATCCACCCTCTATCCCAGGCAACCAGCCCAAAGTTATCTTGGCCTCAGCTACACGTTGAAAAGTGCGCTTGACTTCAGAAGCCAGCACTGTTCCTGAGCACCTACCCAGTAGCAGGAACCTGTTCGTCTCTGTGAATAGCCTCTTCCAGGACTCCCAAAGGCAAGTTCCTGGCAGGTCTCAGAACTGTTACCTGCCTCTGTCAACTCTGTTACTGTAGCCATCCGGTTCATATTCCTCCCTTCAATGCCCTTGAGTGATTCTTTTGCTGGACTCTCAACATTCCTCTCTACCCTCTAGTGCCCCTGTTAGTGTTGCCTTTACTAGGGCTGATTTTTCTAATACATAAGATTGATTAGGATCCTGCCTTAAAGTCATCAGCCCCGAAAATAAGGATAAAAGGGTGTGTTCCAGATCCCCCAGATGTGAGGCTGTTTGTGGGTTGCTTTCCACCTGGCCTCCCTGTGACATTTCCTGCCGTTTCCGCTTCTGTACTTGGATCAGGCCGTGGCCTTTTTTACCCCTAAGCCTTTAAATACGCCATCCTATCTCTTGTCTCTGTCTTGGCAATCTGCCTAAAAGTTTCTTATCTTTCAAGAGTCTGTTCAGCCGCGTCAGTCACTCCTGGGCTCTTTCCCCTACGACCTGTGCAAGCATCCTGCCTTCCCAGGCTCCTCATAGCACATGGGCTCCTGCTTTCTCTGTTGGCTTGCCCTGTGTCATCCCGACCCCTCAGCCTCTGTTCCCTGCGGGGGGTGGGGGGTGGGGGGGAAGTTATCTGGAATGCTGTGGCCAAACCTACAACAGTATTTGACACATAGGAAATTACACAACTACATGAAGTTTTTAAAGCAAGGTGAAAACCTAGCAGGTTACTTTAGTCTCACGTGAAGCTCCTAAAGCTAGAAATGCCCAGACATACTGGAATGTCACTTTTATGGGCAACAGACATCATAATGAAGGCACCTCCTGGGGCCAAAGTTAACTTTGTTTTTCTTATTTTAAATTTCATAATATCATTGGAACATGTGCTGAGTAAAGTGTCCAAGTTAGTTTTCACTATCACAAATGACATTGTCTTTAATTATTTTGTAGACTGGGGGACAGCAGGCAATTTTCCTTTCCTCCCCACTGTTAATAATGGGAAATGGCATGGACTCATATACTGAGCCCTTTTACGTTGTTATTATTTTATATATTTATTTATTTTGGTTTCTCAGGACAGGGCTTCTTTGTGTAGTCCTGGCTGTCCTGGAACTCCCTCTGTAGACCAGGCTGGCCTCAAACTCACAGAGATTCCCGTGCCTCTGACCCCACCCCCCCACCCCCAGTGCTGGGATTGAAGGCTTGCACCACCGCTGCCGCCAAAACCGCCACCACCACCACCACCACCACCACCACCACCACCACCACCACCACCACCCAGTTTACATTACGTATTTTAAAGGCTCGTGAAGAAAAACAACTGACTGCCTGATTCAGGCTGTCATCCACTCACATGGGTTCACATTAGGACCTAACGAACACAGTGTTCTCTTCTCATGCTCGATTGCAAGCAGCCCTCCATCAAGCCAACTTCTGCCCTTAAATGCTGGAGGCCCAGAGACACCCCCAGTAAAGCTAATGCAGTTCTCATTGTGCTCTTAGATTGTGTGTTTGTGCAAGTTATTGAAATGGCTGCTGAAGAGAATGACTTAAATTGATTGTAAATTGTAAATTGCTTGCTCGTCTTACTGTAGAGATTCTGTCATGACTCACAGTAATGTCATGTGAGCAGATCTGGGAGAGAATGCCAGCTGACTTACTGGTAAAGCTTCTTGATCAGCTTGCTTAACTGGAGCGGTGCTTCTCTGGTTAATGGCTAAGCACATGGAAAGACGGTCACTGTTGAGGATGTTTGGCAGGGCATGCCAGCATATCTTTACTTCCCTGTAAATCTGCCCTGTTTTTAACCCACTGAATGAAGTCCTTTGACCCCTGGGTTATGATGTTCAGAGAATTCTTTTTTAAAATCTGAAAATATATCTGCCATGCAGTATTTTGTGTATATCATATAGTAGTTATTGACAGAGATAACAAAATGTGTGGTTTCGTTTGTTTTTTTTTTTTTTCCTGGCAAGAAAGTTTTATTCTTTCGTAAGCACAGTAGATCATAGTCAATTACCGTAACTATTTTCTTCTTAAAGTGTTATTTTCTTGAAGGTAAAATGTCTGTGTATTCTTTAGTCCATAAGAGTACGTTGCAGCTCATGTTCAGTTAGTTGTTGGTTGAAGTGATGAACTGTACCCTGACGGTCAGAAAGAATCACTACTAATATCATCTATCATCTCTGTTTGTAGGTATTACTATTTAAAGAAATCTTTTTACCAGCACATCTATGATAAAAAGTACAAGTAACAAAGGACACCGCAACTGCTCTCTGTCAAGTAACAAGCATTTAATGCCAGAATGGCTCACGTAAAGCGACTGGTAAAATTGCACATTAAAAGACATTACCATAAAAAGTTCTGGAAGCTTGGCGCAGTCATCTTTTTCTTTTTAGTAGTTTTGATTTTAATGCAAAGGGAAGTAAGTGTTCAGTATTCCAAGGAGGAATCCAAGATGGAGAGGAACTTGAAAAACAAGAACAAAATGTTTGACTTTATGCTCGAAGCTGTAAACAACATTAAAGATGCAATGCCAAAGATGCAAATCGGAGCGCCTGTCAAGCAGAGCGTCGCCGTCCCCGAGAGACCCTGTTTGCAGGGGTACTACACGGCGGCAGAGCTGAAGCCCGTTCTGGACCGCCCGCCTCAGGATTCCAATGCACCTGGTGCTTCTGGCAGGCCTTTCAAGATCACCCACCTCAGCCCAGAGGAGCAGAAGGAGAAAGAGCGCGGGGAAACAAAGCACTGTTTCAATGCCTTTGTGAGTGACAGGATTTCCTTACACCGTGACCTTGGACCTGACACCCGCCCGCCTGAGTATGTTGAAGAATATTCACTTACCATTTGTCAGAAGGGTTTTCAAGGAAGAGGCGTTAACTCAGGCTCCTTCTTTAGGCACCCTGAAGCAAAATATTACCAGCCACTGCCGTTCATTCGATGTTTCCTTTCATCCTGTTTATAGTTATTGAGGCAGAGTATCCATAGCTCTTACTAGCTTGGCGATGGAAACATGAAATGTACCTTCTGAATTAGAAAACTGAATTCTAGATCTGATGGATACTCATTGGGAAAAACCTCTTTTTTTTTTCTTTTTTTTACCTCAAACGCTGTAATTTCCTCATCTATTTAGGAACATTTGGACAGTTTTTATAGAAAATGTAGGAGGTGAAGGGATTGTTTTCATTGCTCTGATTAGCTATGGAATAGAAATGTTTTTTAAACTGTGCCAAGATTTTGGAGCTATTAGGTAGTTTATTGGTTTGTAAAATGTGTCACACACTTTGTGAGTACTGCCAAGATGTGATGCTATCTCAGAATGCTCAGAATGCCCTGTGTTTTGTACAATTTCTTTGAAGAGTGGATATTGTTACAACTAACCTCCGCTCACTCAGAAGCTCTGCTGATGGGTTCTCATGTCTGTAGAATTAGAGGCAGATATTCCTTATTAAGTAGTGTCATGTACATACTTATCTCAACTGTACAGAATCCTTCTCTGTGCCTTTAAGTAGCCATTTTGTTACCTGTATGTGAATTGCAAAAGGTGAGATGAATTCCTGCACTCTTGACCCATCCATAAATATTTGAGAGCACAAGACAGGCAAACAGTAAGCAACTACTGTATATTTTGTTTCCTGGTTCTAACAGATTACATTTGCCATTGACTATATATATGTATATAATATATATATAATATATATGTATTATATATATATATTTCTGTAGATGGACATATTCTTTTTCTCAGATTTTGCTAGATTTGGGATTGTGAACTCCTGCTCTGGCATCCCTGTTGAATGTTGAAGTTGCACGGGTAGATTGATGTACCTCTGTTCTAATCGGTATGGCTCAAGGTTAAGTTGCCCATCACTTCAAAGTAAATGTGGGAAGAAACGGTTGCTTTATAAAGTACCCTAGTGTTTCAGAGGATCCTCTCTCTTATGAGTCATTCAGATGCGGTATTACATTCTACTAATTCTGGGAGAATTTGTGACTGAAAAGCAGTCCGCCTAAAAACTTATTAAACATAATTTTTATTCATTGGGATGTCAGTTACTATCAGTTTAAGATGACCATTTTAATTCTAACATTAGCAAACCTCAATAATGTTCAGTCATTTAATTTTTGAAGAAGAGAAAAATCAGCTGAGCACATTAACAGCCAATATTCATTTGGAGTTGGAGATCTGCATCTCAATTACTCTCTTGATAACAATTTGTGGGGGTGCTAAAGGCCAGTTGTTTCTTACTTCGAATATAACCAGTATCAACAGGACCCCATTTTCTGAAGACCTTACTAGGGTTTTTTTTTCCCAAGGCTCATCAGTCATGTGGGTCTAGTGTCTCCTAAAACTAGGTGATGACCTGATTTATAGTTTAAGCAATTTCTAAATGCTGAATTTCACAAATTGCCTTACAGTAAATATAGAGCCTATGTGGTAGGTTATTTGCACTATTTTAAATGATATGAAATGGTTTTTTAGCATAAATTTACTATGTACGTTATTTCAAATTGATTGCAGTTTATAAAGTCTTATTGAGAAATTTTATCTCTTGCATCAGTATTATAACCAACACTTTACTGTGACCCTATTGCTATCATTTTTTTTTACTAATTCTCATTAATGTTAGGCAAATAAATCCTACTTTACTTAAACAGGAGGAATGAACGCCTTGCACAATTAAATTGATACCATTTTACTAGTGATACGTATGTGTGTTTGTGTGTGTGCAGTTTTGTCCGTTGCATCTTTAATATTATATAATTCTTAATTGATATTGTATTAATTGACTACATAGCAAATAAAGGTAGGTGAAAATTCTTAATCCCAAAATTCTCTTCTCTCCATATAGCAGGAGAAAATGCCATACCATGGGGTTTTTCCAGAAGTCTTACTTAGAATTTGTGTTGGTTTATAAACCATTATGTATTAAAATATGAACTTATATTTAGTAATTTATTTCTATGTCATTATGGTAAAGTGTATCTATGTGTTTACACTTTATTTTTAGTCAGTTTATTCAAAATTCAATTTTCAAAAGGTACCTTCCTGTAATTCTGTGTGACATTCTACCTCCAGCAGTACATTTTCATTGCTCCCCATTTCTCTGTCAGCTTTACCGACATGTCCTGTTCACAGCTACCTCTGATCTAATTCCTTTTCTCTTCCATAAACGTTTCCCCCTACTGACCTGCTTTTGGGAAAGAATCCCAAACCCGTTTCTACCACGGTATGGTTGTAAAGCCTTTTCATGAGAGAACTTGCTGAATTGTTTGTAGGCTCAGCTGCCACACTGGAGATGGCCTACTGGCCACTCCAAGCAACCGAAGTGCGTTGGGTCTTGTCTCTACAAGTGAATGATTTACTTCCTTACCTTTGAGTTTGAGCAGCAGTCTTTGATTGTTCGTGTTTTTTATAGGGTTGGTGGGGGAATGATATGGTCTGCTGCCCAAAATGATACAGTCATGTATGGCATTTAAATGACCTTATAGACACTGCTGCCTTGCCAGCTTATCTTGTGCACAGACCACACACAGTTAATTTCATACCCTGGTTGTAAACCCTCACTTCTTCCTTGCCTCAACTCCAAAGGCTGGTGACTATTCATCATGGCATCTCATCTCAAGGGCTGGAGGCTGTACTGAGCCACTGTTACCTTGCTGTTGAATTAGTTTATAAATAGTGTTTTCTTTGAGGAAGACAATGTTACAAAAGTGAATTTGATAACAATCTGTAATTAATGCTTCTAGGTAATTGATAGTAACACTAATTAATCAAACCAAGACCACTTAGGAGTCCTTTCCCTGTGTACATCAATAGAACAGATGGTTATATGCTCAAAACTTTTTTTTTTTTTCTAAAGTCAGGGTCTCATTATGTAGCCATGACTGGCCTGGAATTTGCTCTGTAGACCAGATTGGCCTCAAGATTCACCTGCCTCTCCTCCAAGTGCTGGTATTGAAGTCATATACCATCATGGCTGGCCCAGTACAAACCTTTTACCATGGATATATAGATCTTTAAATTTCTAAATATGTCGTGTTAAAAGACAATTTGAAAATGATAAGTCTTAATCAAAGAGCAAAACACATGATCAGGGTAAATTCCTTAATGGGTAAATTCCTTAACGCAGATGGTTAAATGGTGCTAAGCATTGATGATCATAAGAACCTAGGTTTTATGGTGCACTTCCTGCCCATTTCAATTCCATACATAAAGTAAATTAATTAAGTCAACTTGGAAAATACTTAGGAAACACACATCCTATACTTACAAACACATCTAACATAACTTCTACCAAAGTGCCTATTCAATGAATGAAGTTAGTTTAAATCAAATAAGAAAAATGGGTGACTTGAGTAAGAAAAGACTATTTTGTTTTTTATTGAAGAGTGGTTAGACATTTTGCTTTTTGCATGTTGCTTCCTTTATAGGTTGTATTTACTTCTGAAATCAGATAGTTTGGAAAGCTTGACTCTGGTCATCTGTGTCGGTGAACGTGATTAGGATGAATGAGCTGCTTGCGGAACTTTCCTTTAACCTAGTTATATCTGTATACCATTAAGATACTTTCATGTGCAAATCAACATTGCTGTTTATTTGGGTTTATTTATTTATTTATGTGAGTTGCTGTCGTTTGGGGCGATAATGATTAAATATTGACAGGTTAGCAGTGGGATAGAAATGGTGCGATGCTGATGTAATTAAACAGAATGAGTCATACTGGTTCTGCTTCTCTAACTTCCTCTAGATGCATTGAACAGAAATTTAAGCGCTGCCCTCCCCTGCCTACCACCAGTGTCATAATAGTCTTTCACAATGAAGCGTGGTCCACGCTGCTTAGAACTGTCCACAGTGTGCTGTATTCTTCACCTGCAATACTGCTGAAGGAAATCATCTTGGTGGATGACGCTAGTGTAGACGGTAAGAAAGCATATGCTTATCAATAAATCCTTGTGATCATGTCCAAAGTCGGCCTGGTTTTATATTGTACTCCCTGTGTGCCGTCTCAGAACCTGAAGGGGTTGGGTGTGATGAGTGGTAAAGTCTGAATTCTAGGATGCCATATTTCAACATTTTGGATTGTAGGACTTTCTGAACACCATTATTCAGAACTGTAGTTCTAGAGGGTGTGGTTTTACTCTAGAGCACAGTGACTAAGAGCAGAGATGTGGGCATGAAGAAAAGCTGTCTGGACTGGAACCTCAGCTGTGGTCCTATCCGGCTATGTGAATTTGTTAAGTTACTTACTCTTTGGCCTCAGTTTCTTTATTGATAAAATGAAGATAATATCATGCTGTATCAAATTTAAATGATGTTATTACCTTAAACCACTGAAAAGGAAAACTATGCTGAGTTTAATTAATATGCTATTGATTATAGAAAGCATCCCATTGCATGATTTAGAACTGGAGCATAACTGGGTTTTTAAATATGAAGGAGTTCTTGTAAGTATT